TGAAAAATGGTGGTTTAACCATGAAAAATGCTGGTTTAACTGTTTAACCATGAAAAATGGTGGTGTAACCATGAAAAATGCTGGTTTAACCATGGAAAATGCCATTAAAATTTGGATGATTTGGAGGTACCACTGTTTCAAATAAACCTCCAAATGGGAGAATATTTGCAAGGTGCCACAATAGGTAGCTGAGTTGCATTTTAAGTACGTTGACATGTGGTTTACCATTGTTACAAGTATAGTTAATAGGGTTGATAAACCAACTGAGAACTAGGGGGTACCAACTTGTTAGGATAATGCGATGATATATCAACCAGATTGCGAGGATTTAAATAGAGGCAAGAATGGGGATGCAAATTAAGGTTTGAGTGGGATGACACTGATATTTTGATATTCAAATATCTAGGGGAATAGGTAGTTCAGCAATAAATCATGGTATCATACAATCATATGGAAAGCGGGGGTAAACTGGTAAACAATGTGTACATGGATATAGATGCATATATATAATCATATGTATATATACATACATACATACATACATACACACATACACATACATACATACATACATACATACATACATACATACATATACATCATATACATAAATATATATAGAATGGGCTAGCGCCCTGGTGCCGCCGACCCCCCTATTGGGGGTGGTCCGGTAGAGAGAGAGAGAGAGAGATCATTGCGCTTAGAATTGTGATAGCTACAGGAAAGGTCTGCCGCGGCCTGAGTGGCGCCTGGGAGCTGCAGGGAAGGGTTTGGGGAGTTTTGAGGGCTGGCACACGGCAGCCTTGACGACGGCCTCAGGGACTTGTTGAAGCTGCAGGAAAGGTCCGCCGCGGCCTGAGTGGCGCCTGGGAGCTGCAGGGGAGGGTTTGAGAGTTTTTGAGTGCTGGCAAACGGCAGCCTTGAACGTCCTTAAAAGGACACTGCCAGGGCCTCAGGGACTTGTTGGAGCTGCAGGAAAGGTCCGCCGCGGCCTGAGTGGCGCCTGGGAGCTGCAGGGGAGGGTTTGGCGAGTTTTGCGGGCTGGCAACCGGCAGCCTTGAACGTCCTTAAAAGGACACTGCCAGGGCCTCAGGGACTTGTTGGAGCTGCAGGAAAGGTCTGCCGCGGCCTGAGTGGCGCCTGGGAGCTGCAGGGGAGGGTTTGGCGAGTTTTGCGGGCTGGCAAACGGCAGCCTTGAACCTCCTTAAAAGGACACTGCCAGGGCCTCAGGGACTTGTTGGAGCTGCAGGAAAGGTCTGCCGCGGCCTGAGTGGCGCCTGGGAGCTGCAGGGGAGGGGTTGGGGAGGTTTGCGGGCTGGCAAACGGCAGCCTTGAACCTCCTTAAAAGGACACTGCCAGGGCCTCAGGGACTTGTTGGAGCTGCAGGAAAGGTCTGCCGCGGCCTGAGTGGCGCCTGGGAGCTGTGCAGGGGAGGGTTTGGCTATTGTGCGGGCTGGCAAACGGCAGCCTTGACGTCCTTAAAAGGACACTGCCGGGCCTCAGGGACTTGTTGGAGCTGCATGAAAGGTCCTGCCGCGCCTGAGTGGCACCTGGGAGCTGCAGGGGAGGGTTTGGCGAGTTTTGCGGGCTGGCAAACGGCAGCCTTGAACGTCGTTAAAAGGACACTGCCAGGGCCTCAAAGACTGTTGGAGCTGCAGGAAAGGACGGTTTGGCGAGTTTTGAAAACTGGCAAACGGCAGCCTTGAACTCCTTAAAAGGACACTGCCAGGGCCTCAGGGACTTGTTGGAGCTGCAGGAAAGGTCTGCCGCAGCCTGAGTGCCGCCTGGGAGCTGCAGGGGAGGGTTTGGAGCAGCCTTGAACGTCCGTAAAAGGACACTGCCATGGCCTCAGGGACTTGTTGGAGCTGCAGGAAAGGTCTGCCGCGGCCTGAGTGGCGCCTGGGAGCTGCAGGGGAAGGTTTGGCGAGTTTTGCGGGCTGGCAAACGGCAGCCTTGAACGTCCTTAAAAGGACACTGCCAGGGACTCAGGGACTTGTTGGAGCTGTAGGAAAGGGCTGCCGCGGCTTGAGTGGCGCCTGGGAGCTGCAGAGAGGGTTTGGGGAGTTTTGCGGGCTGGCAAACGTCAGCCTTGAACGTCCATAAAAAGACGCTGCCAGGGCCTCAGGGACTTATTGGAGCTGCAGGAAAGGTCTGCCGCGGCCTGAGTGGCGCCTGGGAGCTGCAGGGGAGGGTTTGGCGAGTTTTGCGCGCTGGCAAACGGCAGCCTTGAACGTCCTTAAAAGGACACTGCCAGGGCCTCAGGGACTTGTTGGAGCTGCAGGAAAGGTCTGCCGCGGCCTGAGTGGCGCCTGGGAGCTGCATGGGCAGGGTTTTGGCAGTTTTGCGGGCTGGCAAACCGCAGCCTTGACGTCCTTGTTTTGCGGGCTGGCAACGGCAGCCTTGAACGTCCATAAAAAGACGCTGCCACGGCCTCAGGGACTTGTTGGAGCTGCAGGAAAGGTCTGCCGCGGCCTGAGTGGCGCGTGGGAGCTGCAGGGGAGGGTTTGAGGAGTTTTGAAGGCTGGCAACGGCAGCCTTGAACCTCCTTAAAAGGACACTGCCACGGCCTCAGGGACTTGTTGGAGCTGCAGGAAAGGTCTGCCGCGGCCTGAGTGGCCTGGGAGCTGCAGGGAAGGGTTTGGGGAATTTTGAGGGCTGGCAAATGGCAGCCTTGAACGTCCTTGAAAAAGGACACTGCCAGGTGCCTCAGGGACTTGTTTGGAGCTGGTCAAGGAAAGGTCTGTGTTGCCGCGGCCTGAGTGGCGCCTGGGAGCTGCAGGGGAGGGCTTGGGGAGTTTTGCGGGCTGGCAAACGGCAGCCTTGAACCTCCTTAAAAGGACACTGCCAGGGCCTCAGGGACTTGTTGGAGCTGCAGGAAAGGTCTGCCGCGGCCTGTTGCGTTTTGGAACGCCGTAGAAACAGAGATTGCTGTGGCATGAGTGGCTCGTGGGGATGCACAGAAATTGCTGTGGCCTGAGTGGCTCCTGGGCGGTGAACAGAGGGTGCTATGGCCTGGGTGGCTCGTGGAAAGTGCAAAGCATTGGGAAGGAAAAAAAGTTCCACACCTGCGGTGGTCCCAGGCGCCGCCCCTGCCTTGGCTAAGGCGGGGTCGGCGGATCTTCTGGCATTCTATCTGGCATTCTATCTGGCATATCTTCTGGCATATATTCTGACATATCTTTTGGCATTCTATCTGGCAAATCTTCTGGCATTCTATCTGGCATATCTTCTGGCATTCTATCTGGCATATCTTCTGGCATTCTATCTGACATATCTTCTGGCATTCGATCTGGCATATCTTCTGGCATTCTATTTGGCATTCTATCTGGCATATCTTCTGGCATTCTATTTGGCATTCTATCTGGCATATCTTCTGGCAGCATATCTTCTGGCATATTATCTGGCAAATCTTCTGGCATTCTGTCTGACATATCTCTGACATTTATTTGGCATTCTATCTGGCATATCTTCTGGCATATTTCTGGCATTCTATCCGGCAAATCTTCTGGCATTCTATCTTTGTAACTTTCTTCTGCACATTCTTTGTCCCATATCTTCCTACATGAGGTCCGGCAGGGAACACTTGGCGTGGATACTCGCGGTTGAGGTCCGGCAGGGAACACTGGGCGTGGATGGTCGTGGTTGAGGTCCGGCAGGGAACACTGGGCGGGGATGGTCGTGGTTGAGGTCCGGCAGGGAACACTGGGCGTGGATGGTCGTGGTTGAGGTCCGGCAGGGAACACTGGGCGGGGATACCCGCGGTTGAGGTCCGGCAGGGAACACTGGCGGTGATGGTCGTGGTTGAGGTCCGGCAGGGAACACTGGGCGTGGATGGTCGTGGTTGAGGTCCGACAGAGACCACTGTGCGTCGAGGGTCGCGGTTGAGCAGGAGGACGACGAGGAGGAGGAGGAGAGGAGGAGGAGATGAGGAGGAGAGGAGAGGAGCAGGCAACTGACATAAAATCTAACAACCCTCACCTGGCAGGTGGGGAAAAAATCCTTCAGGTCATTTGTTTTCTGTTGTGTTTTGGTGACGTGTCCGAATTGAAACTTCGCGCCGACCAGGTGATGTCACCCTGAAAAGTTGTGATGGTCAAACCCACCGTGGCCACCGCATCGTTTTGTCTGCGGCCAGCAATGCTTTGAAGGCTTTGCTGGGAGAAACCTTCAGTGAAGGCCAGCAGATACAGCAGGGACAACCCATTGAAATCGGAGCCTCTGATGAGGTGGTCCGTGCGTTGCTTGATCATATCTATGGTGGAGAACCAGAGATCACCCCTGCCAGCGCAACAGAATTGTTGAGGCTGGCCGGTGCCTATGAATTGCCAAAGCTGTGCGCCGAGATTGAATTAGTGCCTTTGCTCCAAATCTCCTCAGATTTTATCATAGCTTCGACACTTGAACATGGACCCCAATAAGAAACAGGCCTTCCATTGGCCTTCCTGTCTTCCTGTCAACTGTCCGTCTTAACAGTCAATCTGTTCGGATGCGCTTGGATTCATAATTTTCAAGCGATTAGTAGGTCCATGGCATCCAACAAAGTGAGACAACACTTATAGTTGTAACTCATGAGATTTAGGTAGGACCCTGAATTTCTCGGAATTGCTAGATGCTGTGATTTTGGGATTGGGACATCCTGAGCCCGTGATCCTATAGACACTTTACAGTATTACATCTTCATTTGATGCCTTTTGTTTAAGCTAAGAAATGGCTTGATACATCTGGAAGATATCAAGAAACTAACAAAATCACACTCTAGAGGAACAACCAGTTTTTTTGGATAGCAATGATAGCACAATCCAAAGTGCATCTTGAACTATGCTCCACCATTGGGTTCCAGGAGTTGGGCATGAGAGGACCGTGGAGTCAGCTAGTAACAACGATACTAAACCTGCCATTTGGTGCCCAAATCTCTGGCTTTGTGGGATGTAATTTGACAGATTTTGAGGAATTTTGATGGTGAGTCATGGATCCCTGAAGCTGAGGAACTGAGAGACTCCATGGATGCTGCAAAGGCTTTGCAGTTGCTGCAGCAAATCCATTCCTTTGGTCAAACAGACCTGAGAGAAGCGTGTGAAGTTGAGATCGCCCGAGACTTCGAGAACTGCGTACAACTTTCGAGCTTCACCAAACTCAGTTCCTCGCAACTGGCTCGAATCCTGGCACGAGATGACTTGTGGGTCACACAAGAAGAAGTTGTGGTACAGGGCCTTTTCAACTGGATGAAGACGAGCAAAAAAAGACGAAGTCATTTGGGCATGTTGCTGCAGCTAATCGATCTCCCATCTCTCTCCACCCAAAATTTGAAACGACTGCGCTCCTTCGCTCAGTCAATGGGGGAAGATGGTTTCGAACTCCAGTACTCGGCCGATGAAGCTTTGCGGTCACAACTCAAGGCGAAGGCACAGCGAACAGAAGGATTTCATCGACCACCAGGGAAGAGAAGATGTCTGCAGCACTGGTCAACAGAGCAGAGATCCTTTTCACGAAGCTACATTCGCGGTCGGTGGGTTGCAGGAGATTGGGGGACTCGTTTTGGTAGCAACTTGGTGCCAGTTGGAGTCTGGGAGTGGAAGATGAGCAATGGCAGCAATGGTCGAAATCGACGGAAATCTAGGAGTCCAGGAAACTCAAGCCTCAGATCGCAACCCAACCAGCTGTACTTAAAGGATTTCTGATGATTTCTTCAATATTCCTCAACATCCTGTAAAAGATGCTCTAATCTTCCCTTACACATCCTTACACTTTTAAGCTATGGGCCTGGGCTTTGGAGTCTTCCGCGTGATACCTTCGTCGAAATCCTGCGGATTTTTGATTTTTGAAGACCGTTCTTAGCGATCCTGGTCTTGGGTTCCTGATAAAGGGAGTGGCAATGGCCAAATTGGTCCAAGAACATCCGACTGAATATCCGAACCATCGTGTTTGCACTACAAGGACAACCATCGACTCAAACATCGTTTGACCCTTCGTCTTTACTGGTCTTCCCGGGATCCGTCAATTCTTGGCTTGTGGACAACCAACCTTCCTCGCTGACCGTGACCCAGTACAAAAAATGGTTGAAGGACTTGAAACTTCCTCAACACAAACAAGATACTTTGGAGAAGCAGTTGGAGAAAGTGCTGGAATGGTGGCAACAGCAACCGGATGACGCGGCCAAGACGCTCCAGAGAGCCAGTGTAGCGATGGGCATTGATCCTTGCAAACACAAGAATGCAACCACGGATGAGATTGTCCTCAAGGTCATGACGGTAGCCATGCTGATGCACTCCTGACTAGCTTCGTATTTGAATTCCTCTGGCTCAACAGCAGCCCGGATTATCCGAACTCTTGCCGTTACACGCTCATGTATTCTTGTTCTTGCTTTGTTGACCCCTTTCACTTTGTCCCCCTCTGTTGATGTCTTTTTTGCTTTTCGAATGATCCAAACGGCATTGATGGGACAGTATGTATTATTACATCCACGCGCTAATTCGAAACTGCGGGCCTTGTTGAAAGGCACTCCGTTGAGGCGCATTTTCTTTTGCACATCTTGGGATGACTTGCAAGTCGCCCTCCAATGTTTCAAACACCCTCAAGCGGTGTATGTTCGTTTCAGCCATATTGCGAATTTCCAACCGAAGTTTTATGTGGGTTCCACTTCTTCTTTTGTTTTGGACCGTGAACACTCCCGCTATCGGAAATTCCTTCAGGTGCAACAGAGTAAATTCGTATTGGCCGAAGTTGCCCTACGGTTTTGGTGTCGATTCGATAACTTTTGGATGTGGTCTGTCTTTCCGATCTACACCAACAAATCCAATTTTTGGGCTTTGGAACAAGCCTTAATTCAACTGTGGCAACCTCAATTGAATACTCCGTTTATTTATCAATTTTTCAATTGCCGGAAGGGACTCATCCCGCGGACCAAGTTTTCGGGTTCCCGCCAGTTTGGATTCTACTCGTTGTGGCGCAAACTACGATGGAAGTCCACCCCTACACCAGTACGGCAAGCTCTACAGAGTCCCATATTTGGTCGCCGAGTTCAGCTTTGGCAAATCATCCAAGACCTTGGTAGCAATTCGGTCAAGAGATTTCACATGGAAAAACGACTCCGCTCCAATGAGATTGGCCCACCTGGATGCTACTTCATTCGACGCCTTGCCAACAACCTGGGCGAACCTCAACGTTCTTACGCTATCAATGCCATCGACCGGGCCCTGACCTTCTGGAAAGCCAAACGAGTACGAAAACCTGTTCCACTTCGGGCACCTTGGCTGTTGGCTACAGACGTCACCTTCGACAACTTCTCACTGCCCACGTCCACCACACCAAGCACTACAACGCGACCCTACAGACTCCTTCCACAGGCATTGTCTTCACAAAATTCCCCTCAGTCATGGACAGTTTAAAGGATGCTATCCTACATGCCATGGTGACTGAGGACGTTCTTCCACACTGATGTTGAACTCCCATCAGCAAGGAATCGGTTTTCGGAGCGAACCCTCGCAATGGAGAATCCCTCATCCTCATTTGTGGATGATTCCCCTGTTGTTATTGAAGGCCTTGCAATGTCGCAAAACGCAAAAGACTTTCACACGTTGCAACAAGTTTTCTTTATTGACGCGCAGGTATTGCTTGTACCACTAAGCAGAATGAAAACATTGACAAACCCTCAAACATTTTTCTCAAGGGAAAGGGCAACGATAGGAAATTCCAAAATCAAATGGTGCCTTAGCCTGACGAGGATTAAGTCTTGTTCCCTCAGGGATCATTAGCAGTTCGAAAAAGAACACACTGCACCTATGTCAGATGTTTATATGAAGGGAAGACTTAGAAAACTTGTGCAATGTCAGAGTCATCCAGTTTTGGATCCTTTCGGTTCTTCGCTTTTGAGCCTTTCGTATCTCGATCTCTCAGGCATCCCTCCGTCGTGGAACACCGTGTGTTTCCACCAAAATTATTTCTACATCGCTGATGGTGGTCTAACTCGCTGGAAGCCACATGAGAGTCGCGGCCGCGGGTTGATCGCAAACTGCGTGCACGGAATTACCATCTCTCCACAGGGACAAATCTATTTGGTTGACAAATACAATGGCGAATTGCGAGTGTATGATCTCAACACACCTGAACTAGCTCCACCACGATTTGTGGCCAAAATTGATGATGGTTTCTGGGTGACGAGCATTTTGTGATTTCATATGATTTCATACCGTAGATGCCGTAGATATGATGTCCCAAGACTTGATGATCCCAATTGACTTGTTCCATTGCCACTGTGAGGTATTGATTTGTTCCATTGCTCCTGTTCTCCTAGCGGTGTTCTCTACACATCGGGAACCACTGACTACGAAACCGGTCAGGTGAAGCGCTTGGAGGGATCCAATCTGGTGCCTCTTTCTGTGGATCTTCCATCTGATTTCGTTCCTCACTTCATTTTTGCCGCCCGTGACGAAGTTCTCTACATCGCTGGCATTGACGACTGCCTTGATGTCTCCGAACTATGGGTCTTCCTGCGGGTGGATCCAGGGCAGAGCGAGCCAGTGGAACTGGGCCGGATGGAGACGGAGGTTGTGTCAGGGTTGCCACTTCGCTGCAGTTGGACCAGTTGGACCAGTTGGACCAGTTGGACCAGGACTTTAGGCGCAGAAGCATGCGGTTTCACTGACATTTTTTTTTTTTAAGAACCCTACAACCCTACAAGGACTTTGCTCAGTAAAGTCTGCTCGAACTGAGTTTGATTCAGGTTGAGATGATTTCGCCAGCTGCATAAGATTTACCCAGGTGATTTTGCCTGTTGTAAGCCCCCCGCCAAATGCCTTTGAACAGCAGATGGGATAAGGCTTCACGAACCTAGGTTTGTGACAGACAGTGGCCAAATCTATGTGGCTGATGGCAAAGCATGTCAGATCGTGGTGTTCAATCCTGGCGACACGAGACCAGTGAAAGTGGTCGGAACTCATGAACCACCCGTGGACCTCTTGGTGCAGAATGAATGTTTGTATGTGCTTCTGATCTCAGGCAGGGTCTACGAGTATGCCTTCCCTCCAGCGCTTGAATTTGAATGACTTTGATTTGTTGCTCCCGGTGAAATCTGCTGTGGAAAAAGTTTCGAGTTCAGCCAAGAGCCCCACTTGGTTCATGCGTACCTGACTCATGTGGCTTGCTCCAGGTTTGTATCATGGTATGATTCATATTGGAAATGATGGAAATGCGTTATAAAACGCTCACATTGACCAATACTTCCTCTTCAAAACAAACCAGATTTCGACCATTATGACATAATGTGACATAATTATAAAATAATTGGTGAAACATGGTGAAACCTTTGTTGACAGGGCACATAGGGCACGGCCACATTGTTGGGAGCCTCGCCTTGCCCAGATCATGGGAGCCTGCTTTGCTCTCCCAGGAGTGGGCGATCTGTTCGTGAGAACACGGGCAGATAGGTCCAATATTAGGTACTTCACTTGCTTGACCCAGGAAACCATTTGGAGTCAACGATCGTAGTGAACATATATGATATATATTGGTCGTCTGCAAATAAGGCTGGTTATGGTTGGTTTTTCACACGAGCGACCGAGAGGATATTGCTATGCGGATGCTTATCCTCAAAAAGCAAGGCTGCGGGGCACAGATGGAGTGGTGCTCCAGAATGGTCAATTGAGACCTTTCAGCACACAAGTTCAAAAGCCTTTGAAACACACCACGACATTCACAAACCGTTTTTCTTTTGCAGCGATGCAAGTTCATCAATTCTTTAATGCAATAATCAAAATCCACTCAAATTATCTTAAATCTAGAGAACGGGTCAATGCGGGAACCACAATCGAAATGGGCAACTGGGCGATGATTTTGTATTTTCAAATCTCTGTGCTAGAAACCTAGTTGTACATGTTACATCATGTTACGATGTCACAGATCATCACACAGTTTTCACACAGTTTTGTCCATTTTGATCGGGTCATTTAAGTCATAAATGGATCTCGCTAGGTGCTACATGGGTGCTCGCGCTCCCAAGGTGCGCGCATGGCAAATTGTCTCCTCCAAGATATCCAAATTTGGTTTGGTTGTGATCAGTTGTGATATGTTGTGATCCAATAAGTTAGAGAAATTTGTCCCGTTGGCATCCGTTAGCAGGAAGACGTGTTTAACTTTTTAACTGTTTGTTTCGGGATTTTCGGGTTTACCCCCCATCAGCCCATGATGTTTTGCCACCAGCATTGAGAGCAGGAAAATCCTGTAACAACGTGTAACTACGACCTGGGAAGGATCACAACCCGAGCCAACAGACAACAGACTCCTTTCATCCACATCTAAGGTGAGATTCCACAATAGCCTGATCTTGAGGCGGGATTGGAATCTGGAGACAATCTCAGGTCACTTTTTGCTGACACTCCCATCGTTATTTCCTAGGCAGTTCTGTTTCACTTAAGTCCCGATCCGAATCACAATTGATACATCTTCATTTCTGTATCCCTCTTTCTCTCTACATAATATATATAATATAATCATATATATATATAATCATATATATATAATCATATATATATAATCATATATATATATAATCATATATATATAATCATATATATATAATCATATATATACATATGTATATGTGTATAAACATTTCCATATATATATATATAGGTATATGTGTATATGTGTATATGTATACATATGTATATATATATATATGTATACATATACTGCATATACATATACATATACATATACACATATACATATATACATATATATATATACATATGTATACATGTCTATATCTATATACATACACACATGTGTATATATATATATACGGGTGTGTGTGGTCTGATAGCAACCCCCCAAGAGATAGAACAGTTTAAACAACTGGATATAGGGACGACATCATCAAATCCAGGAAACAAGTTTCTATCTACACATGTCACCAGGTTGGGCGCGGCGCCTCCGGTGCCGCTGCCAGAGGCGACCGCGGAGGACGAAACATCACCGTGAAACCGTTCGAATTGGTGATTTAACAATTTAATACCAACATGCTGGTTTAACCTGCGAAAAATGCTGGTTTCAACCTGAAAAATGGCCATTCATTTCATGTGATTTCACCAGCAACATTGGGGTTTTCATAGGATTCAACCATCGATGAGAAGTGTTTTTTTGGGGGGGTTTCACTGTCAAACATATGATAATGGGGAAATCATTGATGATCTTGCAGGGATGATGATGTGGTTTGATTGATACCCTCACGCATAATTTTGTCCGCAAAAACAAATTGCTAAAATCACGCAGATGGTTGATGAGATATTATATGGTTGTACTATATGACACACAATTCTTGTTTGAACCTAGATGTTGTCTTTTTTGATGCATAAACGGCAGTAAAACTGACAATTGTTGATACGTGTGGTGGTACCAAGCCATGTAATTTCAGGGTCAGCCATAATTCTAAGTCATAAGAGGGAGTGTCACCCATCACGAGATTCTCGGACCACACAGGATTTCTGGGAGCCCATGGATTTGGGATGCTGACACAACATGTTAAAACATCAATGGGGAAAAACACGAAATGGGAAATCAACCAGAAAAGTGGGCATGTCAACCAAGTGTGGTCCGACTTTGTTGTAAATGTTCCAGGGAATTCCTTAAGGTTGGTAGTTGTAATGATTGGTGGGAGATCTATGCAGCCAAAAGAACATAGATAATTAAAATCAGGAGATGTTTATCCTTGAATATTCAAACATGTAAGCAAGAGGTTGATGCTACCAAAACCATGGACCAGTGAGAAAAGCAAATGTGGATGAAGAATTTGGAGTATAGAACAATTGGTTCATGCAATCCAAATTGGAATATCTGGGAAGTAGCAACTAACTCCGCACATAAGTAAACATTGACCATGGGCCAGATTTTGCAGTCTTAAGACATTCCCAAGATGCCATGGAATCCAACCATTGCAGGTTAGCCCGTCCACATCATTGGATGTTGGCCTTGTTGACGGCAGGAGTGGGCTGCCTGGGCCAATTCATGCATCTGGGTGCCACTTGTGCTGATGGCCTTTAGCTTCTTTGTGGCCTACAAGCTCTGTTGGGTTGGGATGCCTCAGGGGAAGCTGGACAGCAGGACACATAGGTCTGGATCCATAATATCCCGCGTGGAGGTTTCCTAAAATGGTACCCAAAATCATCCAACATTAGACCATTTCAGTATTGAAACCCATGGTGACTTGGGGATCCCCCATGACTTAAGAACCCCCCCATAATATATAGTAACTATTGAAACCCCAAATATCGTGCTCTACATACTGCCGTGTCCACTGACCTTTTAGGTCATCGAATTCTCCAAGGGCGACCAGTTTGTGTGGTTGCCGCATACCAGACATGGCATCATTTGCTTCTCGGCCGGGCCGCCTAGTAGCCTCCAGTATAGCGTCAGTAGCTGGCTTGACACTCATAAAATGCGTGACTATGAATACAATAAGCGCCTGGTTGTACATGGTTAAACAGATAGATAAATAGATAAATCACACAATAGATTCGATATTACATTATGTATAGAGATAGATAGATTAGATTGGATTCGATTAGACTTAGACTTAGACTAAGACTCAGACTCAGACTCAGACTAAGACTAAGACTAGATCTAGATAGATAGATAGATACATGTGATTTCACGCTGTGCTGGTCCCCGTGTCGTTTTCGTTCTCCGGCCTGGAATTACACACCATCCTCAAGTGGTTTGCGACTGGGTACGAAAGAAGCAATTTCGTCTTGTTAAAATTAGATTCTCACTGCAGAGTGCAATGACCCTGCAATAACCCTGCGACAGGCTAACAGATTTTAATGGGTTGCTTACAGGCGTGGGATTGCATCTTGAAGTCGTGAGTCTACTATCGCCCCTGGACAATCCATAACAAGCGAGGCTCTATGGCAATGGAAAATCCCTTGCAGATGACTTTGCAACCGAATGGTGGGTTCTGGGAAGAGTTTCCAAAACACCATTGATGATCGGTGGTTACAATAGTTATATATATTGGGGAATCCATGGGATGCTCCCTGTTGGTATGGCCCGCTCTGCCCAGGTCTTTTGCCTCCTCTTCTTCTGGATGCTGCAGGCCACCAGATGAAAACTGCCGGGATTTTCATGGAAAAAAACATTGACCGAATGTTCCTCCAAATTACTAGACACACCCTCTTGTTTTTTTTGATGCCCAAATTTGAGATGTACCCAATCCAGCCTATGCCAGGTGGTTCGGTTCTTCTTGGTGCGAACTGACATCAGACAACTCGAAAATCGAATGGATCGGCTTCAAACGTCGTTGTCGGATCCTTTGGATTTGGGATGCCATTGATGCCATCGGCAGTTCTTTGGTGGTTAAAGGGGCCAAGCATGCCGAAACCTGGAGGTCCGGTGCTGTAACAGAAATTTTCAAAAAATTGCCATGGTTCCTGTTGCCATCAAAACAGATCTTGCTACAAAATCCCTTGAATTTAAACATACTCTAACCAATTCTGGAAGCATAGGGTGATCTTTAAAAAACTGCGATCTCAGCTTCGGTCTGAGGCGACACTTTCAGGATCTCACCGATGATTTGGTGGAGGTATCCGATCACCATGTTTCGCTATTTTGCCCAGGAATCCCATGATTTTGGACTCCAGTTTTCTCCTACTGGATGTTTTTGATCGCCATTTATCTGGGGTCATTTGGGACTGAGCTGGAATGATGTCATGGGTTTAGGGTGGAAAGCAGCAATGAACCAATGAACATGGCATGATGGCAATAACCAGATGGGCATGGAACTAATGAAATTGAGGGCCCGAGAACGATTCAGCGCCAACAGAAAGTAGTAGGTGATCCAACCTGTAAACCTAGCAATTTTGGCTGGGGGCGATCGTCCTGTCAATTGCTTGCAGCCATTAGATGCTTGTTAACCGCTTAAGAACCACCTGAAAAAGAGTATGTCACTATAGCAGTCAGATGCTATCCGTGTATTTCCAAAGCAAAATCGAGCCATTTGCGGAAGGCCGAGAAGGCCTACAACCAGAGCTTGATGTTTGCGCCAGGCGCCATTGTCGGGCACCTTGTTTAGTACTGCTCGGTCCGCACATTTGAGGCGTCAAATTTGACACTTCGAGTCCCTAGTGATCTGTGATGTTTCTAGTTTACCAACTACAACAGCATCATTCTTCCATATTCTTCCAATCCTTCAAATATTACTTGGAGTACCAAAAGCCAAGAGAAACATGCGTGGTGACTCATGGTGACCAGTGACCATGCCGGGCCAGACAGTTGTGGTCCTCACAACCCCTTGGCCACGGAATTTGTGAAGCTCTTGGCCGGCGGACTGCAATCGGAGTTCCAACAGGCGCATGCAGCCCCCTTGGTCAAGTGGTGAAGGTCAATCCAAGGAGTTTGATTTTTGGAAATCCCATTCAGAATCCCATTCAGAATCTTCATTTAGTTCAATGATACCATGAAAATCCCATCTAAATATTCTATCATCATTTATAAATCATTTGGTTTGATGATCTTACCATTCAACGCCCCATGGCTGATTTCCCATGGCGAGGTGGACTTGATCCTGGAAATCGTGAGGGAAACCTTGGACGCTTGCAGAGTGGATGTGTTTGTCCAGCGTTTTTCTCAAAAAAATCCTCCGATGTATTTGTCGGTGTCCTCAACCTTGGCGCCAAGGATACCTTGATGGTCCTCCTAGCACGAGGAGCCTGGGCAGAAAACCCTCGGGATATGGACTTTTTATGGGTTTGTGCTTGGGAGTGTAGTGGGTTGGTAAATTTCAATAGGGTAGCCCGGGTATCCCAAATGTGGTGATGTTTATTGTGATATCCTCATTGAAATTGCCATTGATTCCTCTTGGAGATGATCCCCCGTTGACCAACCTTTGCCTTCGGCAGAAGGCATCACTTAAAGGGTTTCGACTCGCAGGTGTCACATACTTCCGCTGTCCTGGCCGTGGATGTTCCATTGAAGTGGCACGTAGTGACACCAAGGCAAAACGAATCTTCATTCATTTGGTTATGCCCTGACCTACTATCCGACGCTCGGATCTGCGATGTGCGGAAATTCCGGAACTCAGTCCTAACATCCTGTGAAGTCATGAGTTTGGTTCTGAAGTTCCGACGTTTGTTTTTAAATGTAGATCCAACATCATCACTCATCATCAACATCACCGTCTGGAACTTCTTACGAGCTCACTAAGCCACTAGCTACCGGAAGGTTGACACGGAATCCCAAGACATCCCAAGACATCCCAAGACTCAATATTCATAAAAACTCAATTGGGAATGCATTATTCCATATATTTCAATATTATTCATAGATATGTCAGGGGTATACGGTATACGTGTTTTTTCAGCCAAGCTTTTGCAGGGAATCAAGCATGGCTTGCTGGAAAATTCCGCATTTTTTTCGATGATTTTCCCATTGAAACCTTCGTCTGCTGGGGGATTTCCCAGCGATCACCGAAGGGTAACTGAAAATGAACCTACATATAGAATGGTTGATTCTTGGTTACTTATCTCCCACATCATCGGATTATATCAGGATACTGATGATTGATCCCATATAATCTGGTTGTTCTTTATCCCTATCATTTCCCATTGTTTCCCATGAAAAATACCAAGTTCAATGATCCCTGTTTTGCTCCCCTGAAACATCCATTTATATCCCAGTTTTTATGTCCAGTAGTCCAAGTGCAAGTTCAGGATCTTTCCGGCAGTGGTAATGCTCCTTGGGATGGCTGCTCTACTGTGTATCTTGTCAAACTTGCCGGGAAAATGCTGGATTTACCCTGGAAATTGGTTGCTTTCAGACATTTTAAAGATATTATCCTCTGCCTCCTGTGAAACTCTGGCCTGATGATTCTGTCAAAACATGATCGAAACATCTATGAATTTGCATGTTTGAGCATGTTCATTTTATTTTTTCACAAGTTATTTGACCCAAAATGACCCAAAGATCGGCAATTTCTTGGGCAGAACGGCTCAGAATCAATGGGATTCTGGCCACACGTTTCTATTGCAGGCTAACTTCTCCTGTCGCACAGGAATTCATTGACTTCAAATTCAAAACGCACACACCAAATAAAGAGATCTCAGTGGTGCCGGATGTTTCTATGGTTTAATCCGTTCCAGTTCCAATGCAGGTTCCTACTGTAGTGTGTCATTTCATCTGTGAGGCATAGCGGGATATGCATGGAACCGGCCAAAGACGCTGGTGAACCCGTGGTTTCAAGGCGACATCACCGCTTCTGGTGATCATTGGAGGGTTGTTTTCGGTACGCCACGTTCCACCAGGGCATAGTCCAAGGTGATGAAAAATGCTTCAAGTTGGAGGATTCAAGCAATGAAGATGATGGTTAGTAGGGGACATCCTCCCCAAATGGCCTCTAAATCCTTTAATATGGTTTGGGAACTATTATCATTTTCCTAGATGACTTGAACCATGGGAAACTCGGAGTTACTCACTTTGCCGCGACCTTTCTTTGGAGATCTAACTGATCTAAGCGATCTAATTGATCTAACCATGCAAGTGTGCAGCCCACAGTTTACATGGAGCATCAAGACCAGATCATACCAGATCCAGTCATGTCTTGTCACATGGCCTGGGACACCAAGTTTCTTCGGAAATGGGTCATTTTGTTTTTTTTTTATACCACTTGCAGGTGCACTGAAATTCCTCTCGCCGTGCATTGTGATCTTCGTTTTGTCACTTTGCCAGAAAGTTTTGGGCAATCGGAATTGATGACAAAATGTGCTGAAAACTAACGACAGTTGTCCCGCAAATTTTCAACAGTTGGAAAAACAAATTGTGTGCGAATTCCCTGCAACCCTCAAGCATCAGACCTCGAACTGAAAAAACCTGTTTCATCGGGGAGACTTTTTGGTCTTTGTGACACGCTCTTTGCCACTGGTTTTTCCTGGTACTTGTTTCATTTTGTTGCTGTACCCAAGATCGAAACAGCACGAAGCAAGGTTCTGCGGACTTTGTGCTTCGCTCTGCTTCTATGTGTCGATACTTGTCACGGGTTACTGATGCTCGGACTTGATCAGAGGAACAGTTGTGGGTTGGGTTTGGAATCAAAATTAAAGAATGGTTTCTTGTGTCTTTTCCGGGGGTAACATCACTAACGACCTGTGAGAGAAACGACTCCAACAAGATTTCTCTAACCCACGGGGAAAAAGCAGGCACACCTAGGGCACATTTGAAAGGCCTCAAGATGGGCATCATGATCATCTTGTGATCAGCGTAGCAATTCGCATCCCACGCTGCTATGGTGTTTCTTAGAGTGGGCTGGGAGAAGGACTCAAGAAAAACTGGTCCACTCCTCAGCATGGACTATTAATTAGGCACACAAAGATCACAAAGATGGAAACAGCTCATGGTTTGTCAATGATTAATGAATACATTACTCAAATGACCTCCATGGTTTTAAAACCATCAATAAAATCATGAACTGAGTCAATAGAAACAACATTAAACAACAAAAAGTAGCAACCATTTCTTCAAGATTTCTTTGATCCATGCGAATCACCCACCTTTGTCGCAAGGCTACAACGTGGATGAGAACCTACAGGTGGCCAGTAGCAGGGTCCAGTTCCAGGATGTGGTGGCGCAGAAGGTGAACGTTTTTCAGCTGCACTGGACCAGTCGGGGCACCAGTTGAGCCACGAAAAGAAGCAGCATTGTTGGTCAATTTTGTGACAATCCAGTGGAAATAATGGGATTCGATGGTATATTTATTTGATCTTATTTTGATCTTATTTGTGTACTCCATGCCTGCGAATGGTTCAGAAATGTTCAGAATTCAAAGACCCAACAAATTTGTTCGATTCGTTTCCTTAGACCCAGGTCACTCAAATTTGTTTGATTCCTGCAGGTTGAGCCTATTTTGCAACACACTGCTGCCTACTATCTGCAAGGCGTTTCATGCACAGAACACGGAAGGGTTTGGTTTTCGTGCCACATTCAAAGCTTCCTTCGAGTGTGGACAGATTGACTTGGGACCCCATTCCACTGCTACTTCCATCTGATATGCAAAGTTTTTTTCTGTTGGTTGCAACATAGATTTTGTGATCGAATCCTACCCCGGTTTTGTTGCTGAAACACCATTGCTGTTGGCGCGACTTTCAGATTACCCGATCTATTTTCCACCAACCAGCCGCTAACCTGCCACAGGCGTCAACGTCAATCCTTTGGCCACCCTACTACAGAATTTCGAAGCTGCTTTGTACACGGTGAAGCGCTTCTACAAGTGCCCTGGTGTAAAGGTGCCGGGTTGCTCCATAAAGGTTAGGGGGAAACCCAGAATGTAGCAGAAAATACAAAACACTGCAATCTCGAATCGGACATTCCGTTTCCGGATCATTTTTTTCTGTACACGCCAGAAAAACCACTGTCTTGGGGAGCATCATATAGAGCGCCAATACACCACATGCACCAACCCCACTTGTCAATCATCACCCCCGTCATCCCCCGTCAATCCATTGCACTAAATCCATTGTTCAGTCATCAGTATACATCATGAATCATGAATCATATCATAATCATATCATTCTTGTCAAATCTACTTGTCAGCTGAGTCATCATATTGTTTGTTGAATGGCTCCAGATCCGCTTTTTTTCATTATAGTTCCCTAGTCCCCTAATATCCAATTGCATATCCCATTCTCATTATTTCTAATCTTAAATGGATATGATTACGATTATAAGATATCACTGCCATCTATCTTTCCCTAACATTCATATTTTCCCTATTCCCCAGCACGTCTCCCAGCTCTCCCAGCTCCATTCGCGAGCTCCGAGGATGTTCGAGTGGTTGGTGGATATGGGTGCAGCCAGTTGTCCGGGCCTGAAGCAACTGAGCCCGGAACCGCTGTTGGAGTCCCTGTTGCAGTGCCCCAGCTGCCATCGGATGGGACCGGTTGAGCGATTCAAAGCTGGGGAAAATCCAATCTACCTAGGCATATTTTAGTGGGAAAATCATATTTATAAGTTGGGAATTGTTCATTGCCACGTTTACCGGAGGGTACTGGGGAATTAGGATTTATGGGGGATTTGGAGATACATGAGATACCGTGAAAAATGGGGATTCCTAGTGGAATGTTCCAGGATGAAAATCAGTTCCAAATCCATATTCAGTTGAGGGTATGAGGATCCGAAGCAAATGGTTCAATGGTGTAGCTAGTGAATACCAACAATCATGATAGGCGCCAGATGGAGAAGTGGTTTTAATGATGGGAATACATGTCATGTAAGTGGAAATGTTTGTGGCATACCAATCCACGATTTTCAGGTGTTGAACTGTGTTTGAAGTGGAACTTTCAGGCCATATCCCAGTTCCATCAAGCTGCATTTATTGTGATAGATCACCTAGCAAAGAAACGGAAACACAGCTTAAAACAGGAAGGACCAACATGGAAATTCCGCAGTAGCGTGAACACACTCTTGGGTACGCTTCTGTGTCAGAGTGGTTGAGATTCATCGTTCAGGTGTTTTGTTTTGTGTTGATTACAATTGTTATCTTAGATTCCTAGGGCCTGTCAGACTTGTTCTCTCCCAAATCTTTCCACGTCAAGGACGTCGTATTTGTCAGACAACTTCATCTCCGCTGAGAACATGTGGCCATATTACCAGTCCATCGTTCACAAGCCACTCAGCCGGAATATGCCTTGAGGTCGCAGATGGTCAACACGGAGGTTCTGTCTCTTTCAACGGCCTTCAGAACACTGTAGCTGTAGCAGGTATGCTGGTTCTGTTCTGAGCGCTGAGGACTGTTTGCCACCACTTTCCACGAAATGGTATGGGACGCTGGGTAGCACTGTGCTATCCGCCAAAGGTGGGAAGGATCAAAATTTATTTATGCTCCATTTGCACAAGTTCCAGCGACTATTCACTTGAACATGAGAAAAGCATGATGATCTACCAAATTTTGAGCGACCAAGTGAGACCCGGCGACCTCTAGCAGCTCGCTGTGGGTCTTGTTTCTCGAGTATATAATTTTTGATAGTCGTGTGAGAGATCATTGATCCAGGAAATGTGTGGCAATTTCCGTGGTGTTCCAAACCAACAGCCCGATTGTGAAACAGCACCTTCACTATCATTTCGATGATGGTCGCCTATGGGTTTCCAACCTTGCTAAGGATTAGTGTTTATTTGCATCCTCATTGGTTTCTTCTTCTGCCCCGCGCAACTTGGATGGTCAAACATGCAGCATGGCCACCCTGGTCACCATGGTCGCTATGGTCTGTGGCCAGGCCGACTTCATTTAGTAACGCAGCAAGTGAAGATGCCACTCATATTCTATCCATCGGATTCTATCCATTTCTATCTTTTTCCTGCCGTTTCTTGGGGAAGACCAAGGGTAAAAGGATCCACAGCCACAAATTTCAACTGCTCATGATCATCATGATTTGCGTGCATTGACCTGGATGGTGGACAGATGAATGGAGACGAGTCGAAACTGAGTAAAGATGCTACAGCTGCTACAGTGCCATTACTTTGTTTGACTGTAATTCTTATGAACTACCGATAGCAACAGACGATAAAGGTACTGTTTATTGGACAAAGATTAACAATTGTTCATGGTAAGACTGCATTGGGCGCCAACCACATGACCTTGTGAGGTATTTTTCGGACAGTAGACAGATGGTTCCAGCCACGATGTCAATCGGCAAACTGGGTGAGAATGATATACTCAATGTATTTGATTCCTCCTCTTCATATATTCTAACTTTTGAGGTTGTAAGGAATGTCATGACATGAGCATTAAAACAGCTGCGCCCTGCCGCTGGAATCCGCTGGATAGGGACATACACATGCTCATCTGAGGATCGCCATCACCATCAGTAATCACTTGAAGTACATGAGTCCGAACCTCAAATTCGGTCAGACGCTGGAAAACACGTGGCGCTAAAAAGGCAACGAGAACCTTTCACAGTGCATAGCCAGAACATAATGTTCATATGATATACATATACAGCATACAACATTTGTATACACATGTATTGACAATGTTGCACATATCACATATAACATATTATATATATATATATATTTATATCCACACGTTTCACAGTACACATTGTTGAAAATTCAACATGTTTCCTTGTCAGGCTTCGGGATGAAGGTGAACGAGCGCAGCTTGGTCACCAGAGATGTGCTTGCTGGGTGGACAGTGGAGGGGTGCAGCTGATGTGGGACACCTATACATAAAATTACATAAACATCATTTACCTTCCAGTGTTGTAGGTTGGTTTAGGGTTTAGGGTCTCACTGGGCTGTGATTCACATGTCTGTTGTTGTGTGATCTTGGTGATCTTGTTGCCAATCTTGGGGTGATGGGCAGAGGGTCTTTGTGTGGTTTGTCATCTATTACCCTGTCTTATCCTCCCTATCTATGGGGTTACACCCTCGATATGGGCCGGGTATAGATATTAAGACTCTGTGACCTTAACCAGCTTGTCCTTGCGAGATATATCAGTGGTAAATATAATATGTACAATACATATATATATATATGTATATATATGTAATGTAATGTAATGTAATGTAAGGTAATGTAAGGTAAGGTCATGTTATGTTATGTAATGTAAGGTAAGGTCATGTTATGTTATGTAATGTATGCATGTCTGTCTGTGTCTATGTCTATGTCTACGTGTATGTGTATCTATATGTATGTGTATGTGTATGTGTATGTGTATATGTATATATGTACACGTAACTGTATATGTATATGTAGAGCATCACGAATTTGAAAGGTGGTTTGGCAGTTGTTCAATCCTTTGCCCAATCAACTGCTACTTCTTATTGTTTCGCGATTCCCTTGTACGCCATGTGGGTTTCGCCCAACTCACTTGCCAACTGAGTTGCCAGAGAAGAAGGACATATGTCACCAGTGAAAGCCAACGTTGGGGCAGTGGGCGTCCTCATCCAATCAAGGCGAGTTCTGGGATCAAGATTCGACCCAAAAAACGATCCAAGGAATCCAAGGAATCCAAGAGACGAAAAGCGCAGCTTACCCCGGTTGTTTCTACTGAAATGGCGAAATGTCGATGTTCAACTTTGGAACGTGTCCAACGATGAGCTTTGCCAGCTATGCAGCTACATTGCCCAATTCCCCGAGGTGGACCCTTGATGAAGCTTTCCAGCGATCATTACAACATCAACTGACATTAGTTATTTAATATCAATAGATATCATTCACAGGTATTAAATAATTATTGTTCACATTGTATATATGTTTGTATATGATATCCTGCTACATTGCTACATTCAACCCCAATGGGAATATATATATGGAATATATAGAATCCTCACCAACATCAAAGGTTTGACGCTAACACAGGCTGTCTGAGCTGAGTACCTCCGAGCAAGCGCTGCTGTTGGAATCGCTACAGCAGGAGATGGCTTGAGAGCAGAAATTCAACATTGGGAGATTTTCCATAACGGTGAACCATCGAAAAAAAGCCATGAATAATGGATTTGGATGGATTTGGATGGATTTGGATGGATTTGGATGGATTTGGGTGTCTGAAAAAGTTTGAAAAATGAATAAACATCATGGATTTGCTCAAATAAGTTGCTATTTGAGTGAGGAAAATGATTGTTAAACAAAGGATTTGGGGTACCCTATTTTAGACAAACACAGAAGATTAACAAAGATGCGCAGGCAATCAATGAACATAGGGATAAAAAGTGAGCGGCAATGCTACAGTTTGATGTATTCTTTGCCACGAAATGAGGGTCAAAATGAGAATCCTTAGCTTGTTTGAAACTGCCATTTCCATGTTTTTTGATTTTTCTGTTCCTTGAATCTTGAGACCAATCCAAGCCCACTACGACTCCAGGCAACGTGCAGTCGATGTCGCTAGTCTCCAGGTTGTTCACCGCTGTGGCCGTTTTGCCAATTGGACCAGGATGTCTCGAGGAAATTTGAGGAGGAGGCCTCACCGACAGCTGCTCGGATCCCGAGTGAGGGCATGCTGCGAGAACTGCTCGCCCTAGCAGTTTGCTGTACAGGTATCTGTAGATGTGTATCTCTATAGTTCTTTTAGCTGGATGTAAATATCATAGAATTCTCTATATATATATAATAATAAATATATATATATATATCTGTATATATATATATATCTGTATATATATATGTATATATCTGTATATATATATATATATCTGTATATATCTGTATATGTGTATATACAAGATAGACGCATGATTACATATCTACGGGCATTCTTTACATGTCTGCAGGAAAGGGCTCATATGTACCCAAGGTGTCAGATGGGGGAACTCTCAATGGATACGGCCCTTTAGCTTTCCATGACCAGAAAAGTCGGTGCTCAACTCGCAGAAGTACCAGACGTTGATGGCACTCATTAGCAGGCAGCAGAAAGATCTGAGTTCTGGCACGAACCAGCCAGTGCTCAATTTTGTCATGTTTTGTTTGCGCTAGGGGTTTTCAATGGTTTTCAACGTGTATGCTGTGTTCAAAATCGGCTGGACCTGCAGTGCTACGGTCCAGTTCGCATCCTGACGCTGAGGCAGAGAAGACGACAGACACCGACTCTGAGGGAGGGACCGATAGGATGTGTTGAACAGACAAAGAGCTGTTTTGATTGTGCTGTTTTGGGTTTAATCTGGGTCGCCTTCAGTTGCTGATATGTTGGTCCATGTTGCTCCTGAACCCTTGGCTGGACAGATTCAGAAATAAACCAGACTGAAAGCCCAATTCATCGTTCGGATCACCATGATCACCATGCAGTTTGGTGATTTCAGAGCTGGTTTTGGTCCTAACTGCATTTTGGAAGCCCAATAGTTCAAGCCCAATATTTCTTGCGTAAAATCAACCCGGTTCCTTTCGGAGCAAGCGTTCATAGTTCATGCATCCGTTGCCCCAAGAATTTTCCAAGTAGACACTGCAGAGATGTGCACTGCAGTAGTTATCCATTGACTTTGCCTTTGGTGAACCACACGATGGCACACTGGGGAGGCCGACCCATGCTAACATGGAAAGCTGCGCATGATCGCTGCAATCCTCCCACCAGCAAGCCAAAAAAAATCAAGCGATCCGGTTTGCAAAACCCTGGACAAATACACCCTTGGAATTGACTTGCATACAACTGGCAGTCAATATGTCAACACGTCCAAGCCATAGGGAAAATTGTCCAGTTATATAGTTCGATTATGTTCGATTGATTATACCTATATTTGAAATGGTGATTTTTCATAGCAGCTAAATCACCCAGAGGGTACACCATGTTTGAGCACTGGATATACTGGATCCAAAAGATACGAAGCTGTGGAGACTCTGGAGACTCAGGTGCTTGGGCCGAGTGCCATGGGCTTACAAGAGCTGGAAGCGAGGCCTGTCCCCAGCCGGGAGCCTGTCGGTTGGAGTTTCGTAACGGAGTTCATCGTTCGCGTTCCAAATTTTGTAGCCACCAACCTGCCAGGTGGTGCTAAGGAAGGGCGTCTCGGCTTTGGTGATGGTTCAATAACTAGGGTTGATTGGGGGGATATACATTTACATAATATATATATATACATACAATATATATATATATGTATATATATATGATATAACTGTAGTGAAAGGGAATTATAGACCAACTTATAACTGGGGGGCACCATCCTGCATGGCCTGGCACTCTTTGGGAATATTCCCACTGGTGGATATTCCACAATTGCCATCCACGACAAGATACGACAACCGATTGAGGCACATGAGGCGAAGCCACCAATATTACCCTCTGGTAAACTAACATAGCTATTGAAAATGGCCATTTATAGTGAGTTTTCCCATCAAAAATGGTGATTTTCCATAGCTACGTTAAATTACCAGAGGGTAACCAATTGCCATAGCCCAATCAGCCGATGAAACGATCATGAAACGATGCTCTGAGGTTCTACCCAGTCTATATCACTGCAGGGGTGATCCTCGCGGCAGTGGTTGGTTGGGTCAGCAGCCCTCAGACTGGGCATGGACTGGGGAGAAATAAATTGACCTCCAAATGGACATGGATGCGATTTGCCTTTGAGATAATTAACTTCCCTAGCCAAGCTGACTGCGATGACTTGCTTACTGCGATTGCTTGAAAGTGTCAGATATGTATCAGATCCCTTCCAAGATGAGGCTGTTGATGGGACCTCCCCTTTCACCAAACCTGAGTTTCCATGTGTTTCCATATGTTTCCATCTGGTAGTATCCGGGTTTCCCTGAGATTTCCAGACTTTGTCGCAGCACCTTGTCGGCTCAAGAGGGGCCGGTGATCCTGAGGGCACCTGAACGGCAGGTCCGCCGATCATGTCCCAACTCTGAACAGGGGATATTGGTGTATTTTTTTCATCTTTGATGATCTTTGACTCATTTATTTGTATCATTTTCTAGCGGGATCCCTGTTCTTTTTTGCATGAACTTGCCTCATGGTCTTTGTTCTGGCCATTGGGTGCTTGAAAAAGTTGGTTGCCATGTTCCTGCTCCTTTCGGGCTAAAGGCAGAATGGTTTTCCTTTCCGAAACAGATGTTTGCGCTAGGGAATTGTGGATCCCCCGCTTTTCGGCAATGTTGGACCGAACAAGTGTTCAAAAAGGGAAAAATCCATACCCATCCAGGTGTTGATGTGAGAACCTTTCCTGACTTGTTTCACATGTTTAACTTGACATTTGAGCATTGCAGGCCATCCATATGCCGTGCAAGAGGTCTTGATCCACAAATAGCAACAAGTGATACCTCACACTTAACAGCTTATAAATAGGTTCAAGCAGACTCCCCAAAAAACGTTCCACTTCCCAGCTCCGTTTGCCAGGCCCCATGCCAAAGAAAGGAAAGAACAAAAAAGCAGCTGCAGAGCCTGAAGTCGAAATCGACCCCGATCTCAAGGACTGCAGCAGGTGAACCAAGGTGAACCAAGGTGAACCAGCAGTCGAGCATCCCCATCAGTGCACAGTTCATCTTAAAGATTGAAACTACTTAAAACCATCCTCAGTTTTAGAAATTACCTAAAATGGTCCCAGTTGGATCTAAATTGAATCCAGTTGATGTTGATGCTCTTCGACCTGTAGGAGCTCACCATTCCAAATGTCAAAGATCGGATCGATGCGCTTCAGTACCGCCTCAGCAAGGCTCATCTGGGCACTGGGCTGATGAAGGTTTTGTGAAAAGGAGAGATCCAACGGATTCTTGACATTTCTTTACCACCACAATTGGATATGATATGATGCTTGTATGATGTAAAAGGATGTCTTGTGACAAATGGGAATTCGGTACAATGGGATAAAACAATATACAAATGGGGTAGCAGTAACATGAAGTAACCAAAGCAGGACCAAACACCCCTCGGTGATTGCTTCCAAGAGTCTGCAAACCCCAATCTGACTTTGGAAGCTGGGAAAGCAAAGGAAACCATCTTAGTTCGGAGCACCTCCCACTTTTGCCAACAGAATCCTGACTTGTTTGGACTGGACCATGTGGACAGAGATTTGTTTGAAAAACGGGAGACTTCCGCAAGAGTCGCATTGGGGACCCAACCTTGCTCACGCCAATCGGTCGGTTTGGAGGCGGCCAAAGATAGAAACTACATGCAGCTGGAAAAAGCCGCTTCACAGCATCAAGGTGTTGTTGACTACGTGACTTGATGTGCCTAGTTTTCTTCCGTATTGGTTCCTGAAATGTTGCTGACCCAAATCAAAAAGCGGTATGTACCGTCGCTTCATGGGTCACCATGTGTGCGTTCCAGATGTGGTTCCGGATGTAGCATGATGTAGCTGCAAAAAGAGATTGGCCACTGATTTTGGATTTCCGAGTTTTCCTTTGGCAATTTGGTGACTCTTTGGGATGGCAACAGAGATTCATCACTCTCCACCAAGGACATGGTGAACAGGCACCACGCGGCCGCACCACCATCTCTCAGTGTTGTCAATGGCACGACATGAGCAAAAGCTGAAATGCAGTAAGCAAACTTCAGGAATGACGATGAACTAAAAAGCGGTGCATTTCTAGAGAGCCTAGTTGATAGCTGCATTTCCTCCAGTCGATATGGATCTGCAAGTCACTACACAGGACGGCATCAAGTTGCAGCATCCCAGGTTTCTTCACCATATCCATATCCTTCACATAAATTCATATAAATTTATATTCCTCAATGATTTGCGAAGCCGCTCCTCTTTTTTTTTCATATTTTTTTTCAGGTTCTATGAGATCACCAAGTCGGAGGTGAAACAAATCGAAGCTGAGCTTCTCAACATGGACCGTCAGCACCTGAGAATCGTCCACTTGGGATGTCTGAAACTCCAAATTTTGATGATATGTTTGAGATATAAATATATATATATATATAATATTATATAATTATATTGAATTTATATCATATATATATATATGATAAATATATATATATATGATATATATATATGATAAATATATATATATGATAAATATATATATATATATCATATATCATCATTTTCCGCAAATTGCAATTGTTGGGGGTACCGTTGTAACCCCATTTTTAGACGCACTTCACAAGACGACTTCCGTGACGGAATGTACCAGGGAAGATGGAGATCCTGGAACGAGACTTCCGGGTCCACATCAAGGTTCATGAACAGAAGGTCCGGCCCCAGCGGGGTCCGGTGCGTTGCACGGAGAAAATGGGTTTACATGGATTTACGAAGACATCAAACTGGTTGTGAGACCAGAAAGCCCTTGTTTTTTGTTGCAACAGATGTGGAACAGCTGAACTGAAATGGCTCGACCTGAGATTTAAGCCGGCACAGGTCCAAAACCTGGAGTATGAGCACAAGGAGGCGAAACGACAGGTGAACGACACAGGGAACAACGACCTTCAGAAAGAGTTCTTGGACAGAAGGGCTGGGGACGATGGCTGAGGAGAGTTCCGAATCAGACATCCTTTCGTACTTTGTTGAAATATGCTGAAACTTGAGCAAATCTTGAGCATCAATATTCGACATCGCGTTTTCTGATAGATTTACTCCCAGGAAAGCCATATGTTTGAGGGACCTCCATTGACAGATTGCGACCGCTTCAGAACCCCACTGTCTGAGGCGCGAGATGCACTCGGAGCAGCTTCTCCAGATGAACAAGGATGACCCACATCTTGAGATCACTCTGATGATTGCAAACCACACTTGTGTCGCCATTGAAGATGAATTTTCTTCAGGTTCAAATGTTCGAAGACATGTTCCGAAACAAAAATTGCTGTATTTTTCCATCATTTTGTGCCTCTCACGCTTAACCCATCACTGCGTGTAAGATGAGGAGAAGCTGGACTTGAAGCGTGACATCCGAGAAACGCAGCTGGAAAATGAGGGCCAGGTCAAGATGCTCATCCAGGCGGTCCGTTGGAATGATCGGATGATGGGATAGCACCGTATGGCGCTGATATCATCGATTTCTGGCTCGAACATGTCACAATGATGTGAGCAAATTCCCCCCGAGTTCTCACAAACACCTCTGCAAGGCTGTAGTGCTGTATGCTTGCGGGTTTTATGGGTTTTCTCCCCAATCCAACAGAACCAGTACCCGTTGGATCCCGTTGGCATGGCAGGGCTTTGCAAAGCGCTTGCAAAACCTTCGCGACACCTTTGAGCAGAACCACCAGCAGTTGCAGGTGGCTATTTTTCGGACTGTGCTGCCAGCGGCTGGCTTTACATTGGCTCACGAAACCCTTCTGAACTCCCAGAACATGTCGCTGAGAACATGAAATTGACTGGAGAGCTTTGACTGGAGACTAGTCACATGTATCATCATGTATCTCACTTCCTTTCAACTGCTACGTTTGTTTTTCTTGCGACCTAAGAGGAGAGGCTTGGAACTAGTGGGCTACCTTTGAAGGTTCCTGCAATCCCAGTGCCCTTACTGTTGGACCATTTTGGGCGATGGTGATATCGTAGACCCACCCAATCATGAAGCCCAGTTGGAGAATTGAATGCATATCATTTTGGGTTATGGGCATCACTATGTCCCAAGTGTTTAGTCATTTATGGGATATGGATGGGTATGGCATGACATCCCCAAAGCCCATCAGAACAACCCCGAATAATAGGATGGGTGTGATGCTTAATGGAGATGGTGGATTGCACATTATTCATGGGTTTTTAGTTGGGGAATCCATTGAATCCACCGGCATTTCTGGCCAGGCTCAATACGAGGAGCAGGTGGAACAGCTCAAGATCGATCTGGAACTCCGCCGCAAGGTGGGTCACTGTGGAGCCTCTTTGGATTCCAAAAAGAGTTTGGGCTCCAAAAATGCTGTGATGTTTGTTCCCATAGACCGTAGGGTCCAGAGTCCTCAAAGTTGTTCAAAGACACATTTGAAGCTTGGCACAGGTGGAAATTCACGAGATCGAAGAGCGAAAGAATCAGTGCAGGACTTGGATGGATGTGCACTGTGGGTCTTCCGGGTTTGTTGAAGAATTTTGGGAATGCAACCCCAAAACCCTGAGGGATTGTAACATATACATATTGTCTACCATCTGTGAGGCCTGGCCGGTAAGCATGTGAATTTGGTCTGAATCTTTCCATCAGAACTGACTTTGAACTATCAGTATGGCTTTTGCCATGTCTTGACTCCCTTCCTTTGTGTCTTGTGGACGATGCACCAAGGCATATCAACGAGTTGCTGTTCAATCATCAGGAGGCTTTCGATGAGATCAAGGCACTTCTGCATTGGGTTGAGATATGCTGAGATCTGATCAGTGGACCAGAGGGGTGACAAACTTGCCAGATTTCGGTATGTATTCAAATAGTTGGATTCCATGAAACGTATTCTTCCAGCTTTCCAGCGAAAGTGTTCCGGTCAATTTCGCTCAGTCGACTCAGTAGGTTTCTTTACCAAGTAGAGTGGTGAGGTGAGCACAAAGACTCAACTGACATCCAACAGATTCATATGTTTGTCCCATCAAATTGACCATTCAAGACCAAATTTATGGGATACCCAGCAATTTTAGATCGTGTGGATAATCCCAGCCTCACAGGCCTACTACAATGATATCACCCACGACAATCTGCAGCTGATCAAATCCTTGAAGGTGTGGCACTCAGCGCATGGACCAGAAACGTGACACCCTGTGGAGCCTGCGGATAGAAACTGTTTGATCTGTGGGCAAGGTTCAATTCTTGGGATCACGATCCACCATGCCCAAGGGTTTCATGGACACCACAGAGGAGATAGCCGCTTGATCTCGCCCTCCCGTGCCGAGGATGAGATCAATGAAATGAAAGAAAAGGTCCATCCCTCAGCTCTTTTCACCAGCCACGGCAGCCACGGGCGGTGGCTTTGGGATTTCATGGGCAAAATATGTTCAAAACATTGAGACATTCGTCAGGTATGAAAGCTACATGGAAGATGGGATGTTCACCAGCTCACTGTATCAATCCGGGAACCCCTTGGTGCGCAGACGGCAGGAGAAGACCAACAAGAAGAAAATGGATCTTCTCCGACAGGAGATTCTGGCGTCCGATGCGTTCGATATTGAGGTTGCCACCCCTTTTATTTTGGCGTCATTTGGCTCCATGTTCTGAAATAGCGACAATAGCGGAGCTAGAACCCCCCCTTTACCCGGTCTCAAGGAACACCATGGAACACCCAAATCGTAGCATCCCTCAGCTCCAGCTCCAACCAGCTCCAGGAGAACAGAGACTTGACTCAGCCTCTGGAGGAGACTGGGCCTGGCATGGGTCACGACGAAACTTCAAACCCCTCGCAAAATGATGAGATGTCAAGTTGTGTCAAGTTGTGTCAAGTTGTGTCAAGTTGTGTCAAGTTGTGTCAAGTTGTGTCAAGTTGTGTCAAGTTGGCAATTTCTGCATGCGGCTGTTTCACCAGAAAAAATGGAGGACCTCCAACATGACTTGTCTGGTGTGAGGTTGCAACTGGAAACTGTGCCCTGGTAGCTGCAGCTGCGAGGACAAGTTAGAAGAGCAGAGGGTTTTGGAGGAGGAGCTCAAGACCTACACCAAGGAGAGCAGCTGATGCAGATTGGAGGAATTGGAGGATGAAACAATCCAAGAAACTGACGAGATTGATGATTTGTTAGTGGTTTCGATGCATATGTTGTCCACGAAAACTGTAAAAGGATGTAAAAGGCCTCTTCATTCGATGGCAGTGAAGGATTGGGTGGTTGATTGGTTGAGGCACAAAAACAATAGCGATTTGTTTGAAAGATAAATCCATCAGCGATACAACCGTTGGGGCTGGTCAGTTTTTCGCCTGAAGCCAGGACAAAATGGCCTTGAAAAACCTCAAGGCCCACTACAAGAGATTAGAGGCACATGCTGCTACCCCTCTTGGAAGGTTAGATACCCCATGGTTCTTCATAGTTTTCCCATTGAAATCTCACCCAGATGCTTGACGATTGTTGACCATGGTTGATGATTAGTGATGGTTGACAATGGCTAGTGCATCCAATTAACCGCACAGGCATCACGTAATTAATGCGTACATTTTTCCAGACTGTTGATGTTGACCAAAGGTTCCTCAGTTTGAAAGCAAGTTCGGTCTGTTTGTCCCTTCGATTCTTTGGAAGAAGGTGCTGTCAAAGCTACCTGAACCCGTCAAAGCACCAGTTCTGGCAGTGCTTGTTCTATATCCCGAAACAAGCTGCTACATCAGCGATCCTTCGCAGGGACTAGATGGGTTTGACTGAAAATGTGGTATATTCATGTATATTCTATTATATTCTCCAATCAAGCCAATTTTCATGGGGAAATCCATGGAATTCCCTGATTTCCTCATGAATCTTCCACATCTCACGGCCGTGCCAGGAGCAGATCTCAGAAGCCAAGCAGGAGTACCGAGCCTGCGAGGAGCCGTTGTTGTGAAGCGGGATCCCGCGTGGGTGTTGGTTGACCATAGTTGACCAATACAAAAATGTATCATATCATATATGTGTATGTGTATTGTATGTATATATATATATATGATTATATATAGAGATATATAGAAATACAGTCACTTAGTCCAAGAAAATGATAAACTAATGTGGGGATATTATAGTTCCATATTGAGACAACTAATATATTCAATACATTTCAATACTATGGGGAAGTTTCAATAGGCCGAAGGCTTGCTCACAGTGTATCTGTCAAGAGGCAGGATACGGATGCGGTGCATCCGTTGGGAGACGCAACGCAGCAGGACAAGTTTAGAAAAATGGAAAAAGAGCGCGACGTTCAGATCTTAGAGCAGACGGCCCACTGGACCCCACTGGACCCCACTGGACCCCACTGGACACAGGTCCAAGGTATGTCCAACGTCATTGGGGAGCCCATGGGGCCGTTGATGAACACATGGCCATTTCGAAGAGCATTTGTGTTGGAGATCAACACTCAAAATCAGTTCACTCGCATTCATATAAGTGCCCACCAAGATCTTTCGGCTTCTAGACATGTTTCCAAGTTGACTCTCACAGAAAACCAGTTGCCACGTGTCACACTGGTCCGGGATGGTATACGTATACGTAGTGTAAGGGGTCATAATAGAGTTCACCTTAGAGTTCTATGTACTTCTGTAGATGATTTGCATCTACACGTCTCATTGCCAAAACCTGTTTGTATCACTTGTTTGCTTCTCTTCTAATATTTTTCCATGAGCTCACTGAGCTCATCTCCCACAGTAACTTCAGCACGAGCCAAGGACCTCTACAAGCGTTTCAAGAAGGCCGTGCAGGAGATCCAACGCAAGGCTCAAATCTTTTTCCCCCAGCGGTGGCTGAGGGGATCCAGCGACTAACAATCCATCAACAGACAGGAACAATCCATCAACAGATGGGATCTTTGGGGAGACTTGATGTTTTTTTTAGTTGAAAGACTGTCCGATCTGTCCGATGAATCATTGAAATATGTAGGACCACTTGAACAAAAGAGGCACCACCTCAGCCTTGCCCAGCCCCTGAACATCATGAACTGCCTTTTGTTGTGTCTAGGCCGAGCTGGGCAAAAATGTCGTCTTGGAAAAGAAGCTGGAGACCTTGTCTCAGCAGTTCGAAGAGATCCTTGGGCAGTCAATGCTGCTCCAGTTGTAGGGTGTATAGCCTCACTAACAAAGCTGGCCATATAGTGGGAAGCCACAGGCAAAAAGGGCCATATGGAGGGACCACTTGAGGTGGAGAGGCTTCCGGGGTAGAAAAGAGAGTAACTTGATGTAACACTGATGACAAGGAAGAGACAACTGGATTTGATATTTATTTGTGCAGCTTGGGTGTGGGGGCAAAAGCACAAACGGAACTGGCTGTTTTCGTTTTTCGTTCAAAGGCAATGGTGAATTCCCACCCGTTCTGGTCTCAAAATGAAGAAGGTTGTCAACAGACCACTGGTCAAATGCCAGCTGTTTGTTGGGTGTGTTGGGTTTGTTTGGGTTTGTCTTGAAATGCATCGGGTCTGTCTTAAAATAGTGCACCACAAAAATTTGATGGTTAAAAATATCTGGTTCATTTCTGTTTCCATTTTTCCCATTGAAGTAGCAATAGATTGTATTAAATTGTGAGGTAGCAAACCCAGTAGTCTTACATCTTACATCTACCCCCTTTGGATTTCCCCCTGGAGGACGGTGTGCGCTGAGGAAACAAGCACAGCTCTCAGAGGTCTTGAGCAATGCCAAGTTGGACCCCAGCATAGCGGCCAACGTCACCAAGAAGTGCGCCAGCTTGGAACAACGGACGTCCAACATCGTCCAACATCGTCCAACCAGAAATGGGATCAGCATGGATCAGCTGATCAGCTGTTGGGTGGTTAAGTGGTGGAGTTGGTTAAGTGCTGTTGATTTTGAAGGATCGATCCAGAGGGATAGATCGAGTCTGGCAGGGACTTGTTCGACTTGTTCGACTTGTTGAATCGTGATGATCGTGATGATCCCAAGGAACTTAACGATCAGCTGGCCAAGCAATTCAAGCATCATTAACGATCAGCTGTTTCCTTTCCATGGTTCACCTATGATTAGCCGATTCATCTCCGACATCCTGTCCCTGTCTGATTTTTTGAGGTTGGAGCAGGTCCTTGGTGCCAAGAATCGGCAGATCAAGGAGCTGATGGAGATTGATCTTTCAACGTTGGATACTCATGGTTTATGATTAAACGTTGGCTACTCATATCTTTAAACGTTGGATCAATTGTAAACATACCCAAAGTATCCGAAAGTTGGTGTATGTCTGATGGGTTGATGGGTTTTGGAACAATATCTATCGCCTATCAACCAACATGTAGAAGGGGATAAGGGGATGACGGTGGTAGCCTTCCTGGACCGATTTTGCTGATCGTCCAATTCGCCGGTCAGAACAATGGGTCAGAATTGGGAGCCCAATGGACCCACATTGGATTTCTGTTTGGGAGGTACCGGCAACAGAAATGTGATGATAGCTGCAATGAGTTTGAACCCCGCAAAAGCTATCAAGAATGGCATCCAATGATATGCACATATCCAATCAATGAGCAGAACATCTGTTCCCTGCGTCCCTTGGTACACCGACTCATTGCTGTTTCAGGATCTGCAGTACCAGGCGCAACGTACACTATGCTCTCAGACATGTTTTTTGCCAAAAAAAGTGGTTGGAATGTTGAGTTCAAGTCATGAATGATTTCAGCGAAGTTGCGATATGGGCGATATGTCGAAGTTCCATCGTTTTTGATCATGCCTTGGTGAGGAGTATGGCACAGCATGGCACACAATTTGGCACGTGGCACAGGTGCACCAAGCCACCAAGCAATACAACGACACCATCCGCGTCTACGTCGGTGGCCCCATGGGTTGGAAATGTTGAAATGTCTTCGGCTCGAGAACGCTACTGCATCTCCGTCACTTCATGCTACATCTACCATGCTTCACCTGGTTTAGGAAAATGAACCCAAGAGACTGTCATGTGATTCAGCTTGAAGACAACCAATGAAATCTAATTCAAGTCATACAAAATCCAGGACTTTGATTTGAGTCTCACATCTTAGATTTCGTGGATTTCAGTCACATGTTTTGTTGAAATGTGGCCATCAAGTTCACTGTCACCACCTGAATTTGTCTCAAAATAATGTATATCTCCAAATTTGATGATACATTTATCATCATTTATCAATGTTTACATGTTTATCATCCATCTTCCCACTTTAATGGCCATTTTGGGGCTGAGGAGAGCAAACTGCAATCCCTGGGCGTGGAACCGGAGGAGATTGGCTTCGAGGCAAAACTGAAATCACTACGCCGCGACGCGTTGACATGTTAAGCCAACTTCCACTACTTATTATGCCGTAGCATACATAAGAATTACTAATGTATGTGTACATATAATATATATATATATATATGTATATGTATATATATATACATATACATATGTTACATATGTATATATACAATGATAACTGATATCCGATATATGTGTCTATATAGACCCATCTCCAGGCCTTCGGAGCATCTTACCTCCTGAAATATGGGCCATAAAAAGGTTATGAAGTTCCAGACTTGTGAAATGATCACTGTGTGGGTTATCCGTCAAGGTCTGTCCCAGATTCTGAAAAACTGTACAATTGTGCCCTGGCAGGCGATTCAGACGGCCACATCGCTCATGCCAGCGCGTCTGGTCACAAAGGCGCAGCAAAGCGAGTGTGGCTGCGTCTGCGGGCGCAGACAATTTGAGAGGACATGATCAAAGGAGTGCGTGATGAAGCATGATCAAGGAACACATGTGTTCATGATTATCATGATTATCATGAGTACAATCATCATCATCATCATCATCATCATCATCATCATCATCATCATCATCATCATCATTGCCACTATAATGAAACCATTCTCATCATTCATACCGCTAGGTTATCATGAAGGTTGGGACTTGACACAGCTGAATTTCTTCCCTGCGAGCGCAGGTGAGCTGAGGCCTGGTCAAGTGGCGCTGTGCTTCCAACGGTGCCCCAAATCTCTCGGAGGTGCCCCAAATTCTCCCAGGAACCCAGAAAATGCTTGGGATACATCAAATTTATCATCAAAAAATACATTAAATCAACATTCTCTGTGTGTTTTTCTATGTTTTTTAATGAAATATATGGGTATATCACGGTATATCCCGTGTGGCAGATATGGGATCAGCAAATCAGCAAGCAATTTCTCCCCAACAAATCGATCATGGGAAGGGAAGACTGGAAACATGGCAGGGTTTCACCCAGTTCTGGCGTTGCTCCAGAGGTTTCACGGTGGAGTGGCTGCCAAACACAGAGATCGAAGATGATTGAAGCAAAAGATGGGGATAGAACTTGCTGATTTGGTGTATCTCCGCAAACGACGGTACTGGTGATTCTGTCATACTGCTTTGCGAGTTGAAATGTATACAATGGATAGATGAAGTATGGAAATGTTCACCTGGATAGATGAAAAAAAAAACATGCACTTTTCCAGGGGTCACCTGGAGGTTTTGCCATACCGACAAAGTGGCGACAGCCATGGCAGCCAATCCTCCTGCATGGGGGTGTTCGCTGAAGTTTCACATCACCAGAGCGGTGGTCAGTTCACCCTGAATGGTACTTAACTTACTTAAGTGTAGTTGCACTGTATTTCAAGAGAAATGAGGTCATCAAAATGAATTTAGGGTCCGTAGTGCTGATGACACTGGTGGACGATTCCAGTGCCGCCTGGTTCTTACAATGCTTAAGCCGTCTTCACGATTTTTCTATGTTTGCTTGGCATGGTAGAGATTAAATAGTGGGGGAGAAGGATCTTCATTGAAATCATGACATGAATTTCGGTCATTTCGAAAACACGAAAACTCTCACCAGTTGGGTCACAGGACCACTGCTCACTGGAGCCCAATGAACAAATGGTGGAGCTCATGTCTTGAGAGATGGCCGTGGATAGTGATTAAAAATCTGTCAATGTTGTGGCTATATCGACAGAGATGTTACCCAACAAGAGATGTCGCTGATGTGCCTAGTTCGACAATTGGATTCACAGCACTGGCCTACCATTGGCAATACAGCTTACTCATCGACAATATGTTGAGCAGCAAAGCTCTTTGAAGAACCGTTTGCCCACAACAAATCGGTTTGACCGGCATGTCTTGTGTCGCACGAGCGAAGCCACTTCCTGAGCTAATGGCAGAAAATCCAGTTGGATTTCCATCAAATTCTATTGATCCTCGCATGCACGTCACCACATGTTCACTTGGATCCAGACTGTCCATGAGAGGCTGTACAGAAATGCGACGACGCTCCGCTCGTGGATGTAATGATGTGGAAAAGTTGCAGCTGCCGAGCGTGGCTTATCAGTGCCCCAAAGAGGTCGATTCGGCGCTGTACGTCTCGGAATAGATTCCGCAATTTCTTAGTAGCTCTAAAAGGTAGAGAATGGAAGGATGGGATGATCCAATCTACCAGGAAATAGCATGAAATAACATGAAATAGCATGCAATAGCATGAAATAGCATGAAATAGCATGAAATAACATGAAATAGCATGAAATAGCATGAAATAGCATGAAATAACATGAAATAGCATGCAATAGCATGAAATAGCATGAAATAACATGAAATAGCATGCAATAGCATGAAATAGCATGAAATAGCATGAAATAGCATGCAATAGCATGAAATAGCATGAAATAGCATGAAATAACATGAAATAGCATGCAATAGCATGAAATAGCATGCATGAAATAGCATGAAATAACATGAAATAGCATGCAATAGCATGAAATAGCATGCAATAGCATGAAATAGCATGAAATAACATGAAATAGCATGAAATAGCATGAAATAACATGAAATAGCATGCAATAGCATGAAATAGCATGAAATAACCATGAAATAGCATGAAATAGCATGAAATAACATGAAATAGCATGAAATAGCCATGAAATACCATGAAATAAGGTGCAAAGGGAGGTGCGATGATAGGGTACGATGGTACGATGCATTGGTACACTGGTGCGATGTCAAGGTGCGCATATGGTGCGATGGTACGATGTCATGGTGCGCATGTGGTGCGATGATGTCTTGTAGTGGTGCGCATGTGGTGCGATGATGTCTTGTAGTGGTGCGCATGTGGT